ACAGCCAGTGGATTCGAGTTGATTTGTGTTTCTTTTCTGCTTTTAGTTTGCACTCAAATGTAGCTGAGGAAAAGGTTACTTTTGTGCTTGGGTTTTTCCAGTCGGTTTTTTGGTAAATTAAAAACTGCCCCGTGGACCTCAACTAACAGCGGCTTGGGACAGACGCTTTTACAAATATTAGTACCATTTTTTGACGCTGGAGTGGAAATGTGAACTGCCTCGGAGGGATAGGGATGGACAGGAATACGGGGACTCGGTATTCCTTTCTTCAATCAGACAAATTGGCCAACAAGTATTAAAGTGACCGAGAAAAGTTTAAGTCAGGCTCGAGTGCATAGAAAGGGGAGTGGAAGCACTTGTACACTCGTCAGCTTGGCTACGTGAGTTTGCTGAGGATGTTGTTGTACGGTTGAATGGTGTCAGAAGACGTGCTGGATCGAGCGTCTCCAGAGCGCGGCCAGATAGACCCAAATGGAGAGCACCGGACCGGGATAGGCCTTCACGTAGACGGCCAATGTGAACTGGACGTCGGCCGCCGACAGCCCAGCTCCACTGCCTGACCCAGCAAGCATCATGGATGGGCCGAAGCCGGTGCCAGTAAGTGAAATAGAGCCGCAGCTGCGTCCAGTGGTAGGTTGAGCCGGCGGCAGAAGAGTCCCGGTTAAAGGCATGACTTGAGCTCCAAACACGCCGGTTGGACCGACCAAGTTGTGCAAGCCCTTTGAGCGAATCCGCGCGACTATACACTCCGTCTCCATATAGGGGAAGTTGATTGGGAAGCCATATACCTTTTTAGTGTGACAGGTAAGTGGAGAAAAGTTAATCCTTGATCAAAATGTTAAACGATTTATTAGAATAGGTTAATAGAGACACTTGACGACCGCCAATATGAGCCAAATGAGCGTCCAAATTTCGTAAGTGAATACTACTTTTTAATAAATTGCATTACTGACATTATAAAGGGTTGGTTGGATCTTGTCTTCACCACCTCTAGGAATGTGCTCCATATTACGCACTCTGTCATATGTTCTAGTATCTAGCCGGCGACTGGGTACCAAGTGCCAATTCAATCTGGCAAATTATATATTTCGGTGCTAAGGATGGTGCTTCCCATTGAGGATACCGATGAGTCTGAAGACATGCACAGTCAATTGTCCGATGCTTGATTAACATTTGATAACGTTGGCAGAAGACGAGCTTCTGGAGGAGTACATTCTTCGATTCTCGCCATAAGCACAGCCAAGTTGTGTAAATGAGATAAAAGCAGTATTTTACAGCGAAAACAGGCTGCAACCAAACCCAAGGCTATAGTATCTTTCCTTGCCTTAACTATTATTATTAAAAATATGAAGACCAAGATGTTGTGGCCCCTGGT